ACTATCTTGTTGATCAAGTGCGTTGGGGTAAATCTTTTTCTTGGAGTAGGTACTTGATATGCAAGTCCAAACTCTCGAAGAGATAACACCCAACTACTTACAAGGTGCCAAGATAGTTTGTTGAGGTGGGTACTTGATGAGCAAGTCCCACCTTCGGTATCAAAGTCACCTTACTAGATAGTAATGAAAAGATGAGATAGAGATTTTGGTTTCATCATACTTAGAAAGATAAAGAGTAAAAGAAAGCAAACCAAACAATCAACACAAGAGATTATAGTGATGCGGTGCAAGGCCTACATCAACTCTAAAAAAAACTCATTTATGCTCTTTTGAAATCCAAAGTAAGGTTACACCAAGTACACCAACACCTTTGTCTCTAACCTATACTCATTCTAGGATTTTCACAAATCTTCTTAAAAAATTCAATCAAATGGGATTCTCAAGAAATCCATCTTGAAATGAACTAGGGAAAGGAATTTAAGCTCTCAATCTTGGGTTTATACAATACTCAAATACAAGAATACACTCACCTCACTTAGAATATAATGAATTGAATTTGGTGGTGTTCAATTGAAGGATTAAGATGGATTTAGCTTTTATGTTCTTCTAGGGTATTGTCACTTTGTAGATGTAGAACATTCATCATAAATCAACTGTTCTGTAGGGTATTTTTAAGCTTAAATACCCATTATGACCCAATAGATCCATTGGTCAAACAAGGATTGACCATATGGGAGTATACTTGGACGGGCTTAAGTCATCCAGTAAAGAATCAGGCCCAAAAATAAAAAATTCCCATTATCCAATCGACTGGAGAGATAATGTCCCAGTTCCACGTTGGCCAGAGGACTGGAGAGAAAACTGCCTGAAAAACTTTTAAACGTCCAATTGACTGGAAGCTTGATCTTATTTCAGTCCAGTCGACTAGAGTTGTCCTGTACACTGTAATCCAACTGGATGACTTCCATTCTTGTTGTGGTCTTCAAGTCTTCAGCTCCAAAGCTTCACTAAGATTTCACATACAAGACTTAGGACTATTACAAAGACTCCAAAAACATATTACATGGGAAATGACCATTTTGTCTTTTGTCACAATTCACAAACATTTTACGTTTACAATCTCCCCCTTTGTGAATTTATGACAAAACCTTACAAGAATACAAAGAACTCATGTAATTACATTTAAAAAACTTATACAAGTCTTTGTAGAGTACAACTCCCCCTTAGTCCAAGTTCCCTCTGTATATCTGCCTCTAATATGAAAATTGAAGCATAGCACTATATATAGAGATTATAACACTTTAAACACTTTATCATCATACAAAAACCATTCAAAATATTGTAATCCATCCGATCCATCATATTTGTATCTTCTCTCCCCTTTTTTGTCAAAAGTTTTCAAAGGGGTTCCCTGCAAACAAGTTAAAAGTCCACAAATATATGGAACTAATAAACCACATTAAAATAAGATGCATAGAGCAGAAAATTTAGCATGATACCAATAAAAAAAATGTCAACAAGCCTTCAAACATATCCATAAAGCACAATTATGTGTGATATCCATTCATAAATTCAAAATATGGCAATTAAGCAACATTGAGCCCCTTTGAGCCTTTATATATAAACCTTTTCTTTGTTAACCAACTATCCTTACCCAACTTCAATTTGGAGAAATTATATTTCTTTACCTATTATTGCCGGAAATATCAAGGATGAAAAGTCTACAAAGAAACGAAGGAATGAGAACAAAGTGTCTCCAAGCTAGAAGTTGAAACTTATTGTACATATCAAAAAGTTTAAAGATAAAGTTTTTATACTAGTTTCTCCTCTTGAGTATGAAAAATACAAAAAGAAAAATGAAAATAAAAACTCAAGAGAAAGAGAGAAAAAGTGAAGAAATCAAAGTGAAGAAATGAGTAAAGAAGGAAATTCTACAAGTTCTTAAGAATGTTAGATAAATTTTGAATACCTCTGGTATTTCCGGTACTTTTGAATCCTTATACTCATTTTCATTAGCCAATACCTAAGTCAAGTTAAACCCATGCATGTTTAATTGATTTAAAGTTTTACATGGTGAAAAGTGGCGAGTAGATGAGAAAATGCTAAGGTGAAATATCCAACATCCTTGTATGTAATCAACAATGTCATTCATAAGAGACTAATTCACATAAATGTCCGTCCTTCCCATAATGTATTATGCAATATGTGGGATGATCTATTTTCTTTCTATTCCTCACACATGTGGTGCATAATTGCATATACATATACACACATTCTTCGGAGTGATATTTTTATTTGGAGTGTAAACCCTGTGAGGATTGAATTAAAACACTATCTTGAAGGTAACTTAGTAGTAATTTCTTTTGATATGAGATTATTGTTTTTTAGCATTGTTTCACATGTGCATGTCATGTCAAGTTAATTAGTGAATTACTTCTATCTTGAGAAATAAAGCATTGTCTTATGTGTTAATGTTGATTGTATGAATAGATAATGGAAGCATGAACTTATTTTTGTTAGAAGATGTTTATTTTCTGAAATTGTCTATTACCATATCTTCTTGTGAAGTTTGTGGGTGTCTTAAATGCAAACCCTCACGAGGCTATAACTCGTCTATTAGAGGAAACCTAAAAGTTTAGGTAAACGCAATCGTACATTGCCTACAAAACAGTAAATATTATAGTTATAATAAACTTTCACGCACTTAACTCATTTTGCTTTACAATTCTTGCTTGAGGACAAGCAATGTGTAGTTTGGGGGTGTTTGATAACCGCCTAAAAGTGTTTATTTATCCTCTTTATTCACCTCTAATTGTCCCAAGTTTACCTCTAAAATGATATGATATGTGATGTTTGTAAGTGTTATATATCTTGTGAACTGTGACTGCC